TCCCTTCCTGCTTTGTTTTAATTGAACTAGTCCTGTTCAGATAAGCCTGTCTCTCTCTTACAAAACCAACAGTTTATAGTTTAAACTGGGAAATAGTGAGAGTGCGTGTGTGTGTTGTAATTATGGTGCCTGCTAACAATTTCATACTGCCACATTGCACATATGGCTTCCAAGCTAGCTTTATCTGAATCTTTGTGAATCTATTCTCCGTGCTATTAAACTGAGCACATTCCACATCGTTCAAAAGTAATTACACTTTTGTCTAGAGTGTAGGAGACTGCTCTCCCCAAACAATGAAATTCTCATTATTAGAGCTGGCACAATAACGGCACTGGTGTTCACAACACTGTGCATTGTACCATCACAATAACTTATCCTAAGCTTGATGCACAAAGGTACACTGGAAATTAAAATTTCTCTAAAACCACTGTGGGTTTTTTTTAATAGACATTCTTTAGCTCAGTATAATTAGAGTCCTATTTGACTTTTTAAAAAGCTATATGCATTCAGATTTCCATTATCTTCGCAACTTCTGAACAGTAGCTAAGTGCTCTAGCCGCGTGTTGCTCTGATCCAATACTATTCACATGCTGACAACCCCAGACCAACAGGTGAAGTGCAGGCCAGGATGTATGTGATAAGAGAATTCAAATGCAGCATTGAACAACCTTTTATTTTGGACAAGTGGAGGAAAAGCATGAAACACTGTGTCGGTAAGCTCTTTGACCAGTAGTAGTGTTCTTAGTATGACCAAAGTTTCTTAATAGTATTCCCACGTTACAGAGGAGTAACTTCATTCACCACAGAAATGCAACATTTTTTAGTATGAGGCAATAAAGCTATTTAACAGCATACTGTAACACTACCTATCAATTTAAAGCACTGCTGACAATGAATTCTAAATCTCACTGAAAGTGCAGGACAAATGTGGGCTACCAGTGCAGTTACACAGTTTGGAACAAGACAGTGGCAAAATTACACTTTACCAGTTTGATCTTTTGGTCAGAGCTTCCCTTTTTTTTTAATCTCATCCAGCATTTGATTGATATTCTACAGTTAAGAAGAATGGTTGAATTTGACAACAGTAATCAGTGCTTTTAGCCTTGACATCTCTTATTTTCAGAAATTCGCACACCGACACCGTTGGTGAGATCAGTAGTCTTGAAAAGTGGCAAAACCAACATGGTAAGGCAGAAAAATAGAAATAGATAAAATAAACCTTTGCAACTTAGATGAGCTAACAACTTTCTGTGCTATCCAAATACTGTAGCGTTAATAGGTTTCTTCAAAAGAGGCATTAACTGATACTGTAATCCTCAAGTGTTTCCCTGCTAACCTTATGGCCTGCTACGAACGTCCTAAAGGGAACCTCAGACATATTCTAGGTCACATGATTTGTCTTGTGTTTTCTTCTGAGCTTTTGGTTTAAGTCTGATAAATTATTGTTTCTTCTCTTATCAGCGGAAGAGCTTTCCTACTTAAAGTAAGTATCTAGTTTCCTCTATCAAGAGGAAGAGAGTTTGGGATAGAGTTGCCCCTGACTTTCACACAACCACAGAATGGTTGAGGTTGGAAGGGACCTCCAGAGGTTGTCTGGTCTGACCCCCTGCTCAAGCAGGCCCACCTAGAGCCAGTTTCCCAGGACCGTGTCCAGACGGCTTTTGAATATCTCCAAGGATGGAGACTCCACAACCTCCCAGGGCAACCTATGCCAGTGCTCGGTCACCCCCACAGTAAAAAGCATTTTCTGATGTTCAGATGGAGCCTCCTGCATTTCGGTTTGTGCCCACTGCACTAACCTTTCTCTGGCTGCAGTTCCAGCATCCTCAGAAATACCCTGTGCGTTTTGATGGGAAGATGGGTTTTGCAGCTTTTTGCCAATTTTGGTTAGGTTTAAAGAGTTCTCTCTAGGGATTTCGCCCTCCCTTTATAAAAATTTACCCAGCATTCTGAGTTACGACTCTAAGTTGGCAGTTGTTAAAACCTGGTAAAGTGCAACAGGGTAAATTTTCAAAAGTCTGTTATCGCTCTGTTGCAACCAACCCTTTACCTTAAGGATCCTAGGACGTCCCAGCTGGCAGGACTTGTAAAAGGAAGCACAGCTGGAAGTCACCTATGAAACAGACGGTCAATTAGCAGCTAGAAAAGCGAGGCCAAGAAATTGATTCTCGAGGCTGAAATTGTTTTCCTAACTGTCCCTTCATGACCCAGTGCTGAGAGGCAGAACACAAGGAGCCAGGGATGGCTGTGGCGACAAGAGGAATTCAGCTACGCAGCCTACTGATGAGACAAAACTGTGTAATTCCATACCTTTTCCAGATCCCTTGGCTGTGGTCTTCTTCTGCTGAGATTGTTCCCTAATCCAAAAGGGTGTTGTACATGTAAGCTAACACAGAAAGATCTCTCTGGATCTATACCATGTCTACTTAAGAATCCCTTCAGAGAAGAGTCTTAGCCAACAATCATGCACAAAGCAGTATGGTGGTTTAAAGGGGTGCAGCAGAGTGATGCACGACATGATTTCAGACCGGTTGCATGTCTGATCCTGTCTTATTCGATGTTGGAGAGATCTGTAAAGGTGTCCCCTGCTAAGGACAGCATGTGGCTGCAAAACGAGAACTCCATAGTCACTTGCAGACTCAGTTAATAGGTGTAGTAGTACAGCTGACAAGCTATTAAGAAGTGTGAAGCACACTGCTGGAGCTTTATCAATAAAACTGTATTGGACCGCACTGTGCAGTGGTGTGTGCACATGTGCATACAGCTGGATTTGCTTCCCAGAGACTATAAAATAGCACAGAATGTCAATTCAAACAGTGTAAAAATGACCTCCGTAATGCTACCAAAGTGAACACCCTTTGGGAATGACTTTTGCAACTGCTAATCACCCAAACTGAAGTTAATCTAAAAGTTATCCAAGCACTAGGTTCCTTCTTATAACTACATACCACAACAGCAGAGGGAGTGATTATGTATATTTTAGTCATTTGAACTGATCACTTCCTTCTTTCTGGAGACACATAGGCTACATCCTTTCTGATCTACCTGGATGATGATTTTTACAAGACACTCCTCACTAAAAGAGAGACACTAAAAAATGTCACATTCATATAAACCAGCAATTTTCCTAAATATGTCTGAAGACAAACCCAGTCCCTAAAACCCCCCCTAATATGCTTCAGATAAACCTGCAGCATCTCACTACTAGAGCAAAGCTGTCTAAAACGTGCAATAATTCAGTATCTTGTTGTATAAAGAGACAGAACACACTGTTTTGACATCACATTGAATATAGCCTTCATAGCAAGAAGTCACACTAGATGATCAGCTAAACTTCTTGGTCTTAAAAACTGTAAATGAATAAAGAAGTTGGTCAAAATCAGTTAAAGAGCAGTTAAGTATTTCAGTGAGGTGTAGTTAAAATACTCCTGCTGGGCTCCTTAGAAGACAATGAGGTTTTATTTCATTAGGGTCTCATTCTACACCACTGGTGTCATCACAAGTTTATTGACTTAAATGTTGTCAGAACAACCCCTTATCTTCAAGACACTCTCTTAAAATAGGCCAAAATACAGCAAAGCTCATACGCCAGTTACATACCCTAACATCCCATTGGATGCCACTGTATATTAATGAACTACAGCTCCATAAAACGTATGATAAAGGATAAGAAGTAAAACCAGCTAGAAAAAGATAATTACACATCTGCCCATAAGTAATTTTCCAATGACGTTCTTTCTTCATTTAAAGTAGCAATACACAAAGTAAAATTAAATATTCCAAACCACTGTTTGAACTTAAGCACTAGACCAAAAAGGAAGAAAAATGGATCGGGAGTTATTTTGTCTAGGAGACTAGCTTCAGTGAATATCCAGTGACTTGGTCCTATGAGAAATAACAATCCCTAAGGCTTTTTACTTAGAGCTTGTTACATATGCATAATGAGCTGTGAGGGCTGAAATACCACTATGGAGCTGTCGCGGGCTTTTATGAGAATACACTATCACCTATTTTGCAATGTCTTTTTAAAAAGCCTTCAAATATGCAGGTCCATTCATTATCTTCACTTAAAGTGAAATTGTCACTGCCCTTGTCAAAGTGGGGGACTAACAGAAAAGTTACAGTCAATTTGTAAACAGGCAAGAGCTGTGTAAGTGCATTCACAATAGACAGCTTTGTCGAGGTGCCTAAGTCCTGGGGTTTCAATGCCTTTCTCTGCACCTTTCAACCTTTATAAAAATGTATCACAGTACTCTGCATGAAGGGCCCAGACTCATCAAGTTACAACAATGACACTACGATACTAGTGAGGAACATGGCATTGCTTTTTGTTCTTTTTGTTTGTCTGCTTTTAGATAAAGCCAATCTGGACTTCCAGTGGGCTGGTAAACACAATGAATTAAAGTGCACCGTGTCATTTGTGAAGTGCACAAAAAGGTGGGAATTCACAAGTGAAAAAGTGGCAGGCTGATTTAATTCCATAAGTGCAGCAAACTTTCCTATAGGTATCTGTGGCATGTGAAATACACATCACACGTGAATTTTTAACACCAGCAAAACCCAAAGTTGCTTTTTTTGCCCTTTATACAGACTTTCATGCCTTATTATTGCATAAACTTGGCATTGGGGTGATATTTCAGACACCATGCCAAACATGACTCTCACTTACAGTGTTCCAAAACCATTTACTGTTTGCTGAACACATACACTTCAAATTCACATCACTGTAGCTAAAAATTTTTAGCACCCTAAATGCCAGCAGGCAAAGGTGAGGACAAACGGAGTTTGCACTGCAAGTGATTTAGCATTTGTTGTGGAGGGTAAAGGCAGTCCAGCTAGGTCAAAGCTTTCACATTATTGTAGCATGTTCTGTACGTGTAACTGTGCATTGTATACTCCATAAAGTACAGATCTGGATGCCAAACTACTGTAGAGGCAGAATTCAAAGAATGGATGTAAGCACAATAGACCATTAGCAAACCTACCATTGTGTTGTGCTGAGAAGTGGGAGTCCTATGGCCACAGTTCTCTTGCGTCAGCAGAGAAACTGGCTGAAATTCCTCAGAGTGAGGCTTGTTGGGAAAACTCACATGCAAGGGAAGGTGAAAGGCTGGGAGCCCGTCACTCTCCTCTTCTCCCACTTTCTGTCTGCTTGTCACCATGGCTACCTCTCCATCTGCTTCCCCATACGGAGAGGCTGGTCGCTTGGAAGACATCCTGGAAGGAACAAAAGAGGAGAAAATAATGAAACCTCCAAATAAATCCTTAATGCCGTCATTGTGTGGTTAGGGGCCATTGTAACAGAAATGCCTTTTTTGTGCTGGCAGAGAGCAGGAAACCATCCAAATACCACTGCAAAGCATACACAATTGGGAACAATGGCCAAGCAGGTAGCAACAGAACAGTGGCTTGTTTGTTGTGAGAATAATACACTAATATAGCACTCTCTTGTATTCTGGCTTCTTAAACATGAAAATTCACCTAAGAAGACTGTATAATGAAATGCAATTCCTTTAAAAAAATACCCATCTGGTTTTGCATTTGCAAGAGACTGTAAGAAGATAGAATGTCTCCCGATAGAAGCTATTGTCAACTTAGCTTTTAAGGAATAATCATCTGCATGTATTTAACCGCGACTGATAAAAAAAAATAAAGGAAAATAAAATAAACTTGCTAGTAAGCCAAAATGTCTGTGTTTATAAAACTTCACCCATGTGAACAACTGTGTTATAGTTATGTTGCAAGAATCTTTTCAGGTTTGCAGATCTGGGATAGTTAAGCAATTAAACATTCAGTTGTTAATAATCTAAGCTTTTTGACAACACAAATTCAGGGTTGTACTAAGTGAGTGAAGATTTCCTATCAAGATACCCTATACCTCCTACCTAAAGCCAGATCAGGGAAGAATACACATAAACGTAACTTGCATCTGCATCTATATAAAAAAGATACACAAGCAAGATACATAAGAGTACACGTCGTAAAAAGCACACACAAATCTTGACTTAAAATTCAGGCCCACATTCCAAAATTTTTGAGACTGTCTGATAACACTGGTCTGATAGCACGTGTGCATCTTCAACTTTTAGAAAGACCTAAAGAACCCCTATGCCGTTGGAAAATCGAGTTTTCATCCAAACCAGGCACTATTGAAAATCTTACAGGACAATCTGAACCCAGAACACTTTTTCAGCTTGGTCTTCAAAATAGAGGGGTCCACTGAACTATTAAAATGCAGACGACTTCTGGGATTAATTACAACAACATTGTTCATGAAAATCAGGGTATGTGCATGGATGGCATAATGGGCCACTGTGCTAAGCAGGGGCATCTGTAACAAGGAGTGGAATGACAAATAAGAAATCCTATAGGCATAGTCAAAAGAAGAAAAGAAAGATAAATATTTCATAGAAAATAGGAAGTTATGAACACGGAAACCAAAGACTATTGTATGTGAAAGTTGAAAAGACAGGCTGAAGTAATACTGCTCCTCCTCAAAAATCTCGTATTTATGATTCTAATTACCCCATTTTGATTTTCCACTTCACAGTTAAAGGACTGCATTTCAAAAGCCCAGCAGCCTCTTGAACCATGTGTGGGGCTGCTGTGAGGTGGAGCATGTCCATACGATTTGGCATATTGAGCACGAAATGGTTCTTAGCAGCAGTCAACTGGGTCTGAAAACAAACAGTGACTTTAAACAGCCCTTTGTTAGGACTTATTTTGTTTCTAATGATCTCATTTTGAGCTTTGCCTCCTGAGCCAAGTTAGATTATATTTAAAAAAAAAAAAAACACCAAAAAAACGCCACCAAAGAAAAAAAAAAACCCCACAGACAAAAAAATCCCTACCAGAACCTATACTCGGCTGCACATCGCCTGTTCTGAACACCACCTATTGCCTGTACGTAGAGAAGCAATCTGTATTTTCTATTAATGTTTGACTTAGTCCAACAGACTAACACTTCATACATCCTACCTGAATTCTGTCTTCTAGGCTTTCCCACCTACGTGTCTGCAGTGAAGCATATGTATAAAGACAGAGATCACCAGATAGACTCTTACTGGCAGTTTTCTACTAGCCCACTGAATTCAGCATTTTACAGCTATGTTTGACATGACAGATCCCAAGCTTTTCTTCTGCAGAAACCATGCAACTCCCTCCTAAAGCTAAAGTGAATTATTCATATTCTGCATTGCACCCCACCAAGATACACATTTGCTATTGATTCCGAGTGTAACATTTTGGTTACTCATTTCAACACTGCCTTAATAGGAGCTTGGGTTTTCACAAAATCTCTCTTTCTGAAAATCAGCACTAAGCAGTTGTCTCAATTTTGGCAAACAAAAAGGGAGGGACACAAAATCATTAGTCAATTATTTCTCAGTAATGTTCTATACCTTGGGACATTTATATTTGATAAGATGACTGAAAATGTTGTAAACCATCTACAAAATTCTCCACTACAATTCACTTTGACAATACAATATAGAGAGCGGATGCGTTGCTTTGTATTGATGATTTGTATCATATATTATATACCCACGTTGTGTTAAAAACTTCTACTGCTGCTAACCCAGAATAACCCAGATTCTGTCACACCACTTCACAAGGAGAGTTTGACTATCATGTTCAAGTAAAGCTCTTCTGCTAACCTTATCAGCGAATATAGGGTTTCCTCCACTGTGTTCAGTTAGCGTGCTGCACATCATCGCCTTCTGCTTGTCGCTGTTCCTAAGAGGGATGATACCATTTTCTGCCGGGAATTTGTAACAACAGGCAAGGAAGACAATAGAGGTGACCATCTCCATGCACTAGCAGTAACAGAGATTACGTTTTTTGATCTAAAATTAAAACCTATGGGTTGGACTGTAGACCAACCTACAGAGATACTAGAGAAGGAAGAAGAAACTTTTTCCTTCCTTACGCAGCTCTTACAACATCCAGTTTAAATTACAAGCCACGTGCTCATCATAACGCTAGAAGGCTAAGAAATTGCTAAAATAGCTAAGGGGCTGAAGTTACAGATCTAAACTGCGTTAGCCTTCCAAGTGACTAGGACACACAAAGAAACAGATGCACAACCCTCGGTAAAGGTCACACAGCGCAGGCGACGACTGCCATTTGTTTCCAGGTAGCTCTGTCCGTAGCCAACATGAGTTGGGCATAGTCTGGCCTTTCAGAAATCTCATCATCCCCTTCAACATTCAACACAACCACCACATTTTCAGAGAAATTACTTACTCCTTATGAACAGCTGGGAAAATTCCACAAGACAATGCAGATTTAAACAAATAAACAAATCCGCACCTACTTTTGGAAATGTCTTCCAGAAGGACAGCAACTACCAAAGCCTATAGCAGCAAAGGATCAAATCACTGATAGGTTCACAAGCAGAAAACAACACGATACAAGGTAAATTCATTCACAGATCTTTAATTATTTCTGCAGCTTTATTGGTCCCTTTTCTGAATTTGTAATGCTCCCACACCCCATATCCTTGGATTCTCTTCTTTCCATACACCTTCATTTTCCTACTGAATTAACAGTAGGCCTTAAGAGATTCCATATCTGAGATGCAAGTAGAGTTCCCATTATAAACAAGAAGGGAAACAGCTAAATTCCAAGTAACAATGTTATCTGAAACTGAGCTCCTTTAAACAGATCTAGGTCTATTGAAGGACTGGAATTATCCCATCTCATCAAAGGACTGCAAACACCCCGGATCCACCCTCAATGGTAACATGACAGTTTACAAGTTACGCGACTTCAAGATCTTTTCCTCAAACTAGTTTAAACTCAGAAGGGTTTTCAATTACACCCCTCTGAAAGAAGGTTTACAATGAGAGAGGAAGCATCAGTTTCCTCAATTTATGGATAGGATTAAAAGAAACAACCAGAACCTCAAGCTATAACTCTCAGAAAAGTAGCAATTTGGTGGGCCAGATTCGGAATCTAAAAGGGTGTCTCTGTAGATGAAATCTGTTGCAACTTAAGACTTGCAAGAAGAGCTGCATTTTGAACTGTCATTAATATTTCTCCTGAATAGAAATAGCTAAATAGTAATTTTTCAGACAACCTAAATCTGCAAAGTTCAGACACAGTGGGACACAGGCAGTGCTCAGCCCACTGTAGAGACACACTGGAGTTATGAAACGTATCCCCATACTTGATTTTTATCAGTGGTTAGGATGGAACTAAAGATTTATTCCTGGTGGTGGTGAATTCAAATACGACACGATTTCTTGTAAAGAGACTCGTTTTTCTGTTTTTGGAAAGGCTTCTTAATATGCAGAAATTTCAGTAAAAAACACGCCTTTTGTTAAATTTTCATTAAGTAAACCCTTTTCCTCGTAGCAAGACTTTTTTTTTCAGGGAAGTAAAATCTCACTCTTCTAACTCACTCTTATCCCACAAATATTTGATGCGATTCATCTTACAATAGCTTCTCCACGTTATTTCTCTACTCCCCTTCAATTTACAACAGACTCTTTGTAGGCTTAAACTGATACCCTGTGTCTATTGATCTCAGCGGTTTTGGACTGACTTCAGCATGGCTGGATTTTCCCACTGGAGAGAGCAAGAGCTACGCTGTGTCCACATGAACTGTTTCCTCGTGCCATCCACAAGTACTGGTTCCACCCAAATGATTTCAGGCTACCAAATAACATTATTTTGTTTGGGTTTTTTTCCCCCCCTTGATTTCAGTGCCTCACAAAAGTGATCTTTCCACAGCTCTATTTTATTATTATTATTTTTAACAGAACCCCATTTAAGCGTCCCCACTACGTTTCCATTTGTTCATTGGTTTTGGTTCATTTCATACATGGTTGTATACCCAAAATAAAGCCAAAATGGTATCCAGTATTCAAGGAGATGGTGCCCTCTAGCATACAACCAGCATCCATCCCAATTTGATTGCTCATGCCATAAAATTTCATAAATTTTATGTCATAAAACTCTAATCTTGTTACATTAAGCAAAATACCTCAGAAACATTTCAGATACCCACAAAAGCTTGTGGAGAAATGGCTTATCCATGTCTTCAAAAGTGACAAACACAAATGTGTCAGGAGAAAAAGATATGAGGCCATAAATCTTAACTTGTTGGGAGTTAATTAAGGGATTCATCAATCATTACACAGCTCACCCCATCCATACACAGGCAAAATCCCGTCAGCTGCCACAACCTACAGCAATCTACAGGTTAAAAACT